ATGCTCATCCTATCTACTGGAAGAACGAGGGCATATTTTCCTGAAAACAGAGAACTTTTTACATGACGTAATCTGTAGAACGATCTGGTAGCTGGTAGTCACCTTTGGCTGGCGGGCCTGTCCCCAACATCCACTAAGAGAGCAAGGGACTCATAAAACGGAGGACAAGACTGCTACTGATCCTTCTTACTACAAGCTTAGGCCAAAAGTCCTTATCATCAAAGTCCTCAGCTACTTTAGTCATTCTTAAAAAAAGTGAGCAATTCATGATATATGTTATTCCCACATTAACACATATAGCTTTGTCTTCGTTTAAACTCCGACCAAACCAGAGTCATATCATCCCCCGACAGTGAGAAGAATCACGGATTTACTCCACTTTTCAAACTGCCTGCCAACGTCATCAAAGGAAACAAGCTATGGTATCTTTTTCTTCTAAATATAAAGGGCAAGTGTTTGGTTTAGGTTATTCAAGGAGACAACATTCTCCTCCACTTTTGGATAGAGTCCCTTTCTTTTCAGCAGGGACCGTGTTATCTGCCATGTTTTCAAGTGTTCTCAAGAATATTCCTTCAAACAGTGATGCTGCCCTCAGTCATGTACGTTATTAAATGAGAATCGCAAGTGACCTCCCACTTTTTCATTACTATCGTATGACTGGCACTGTCCCAGCTTCCTTTATGTGGTGACTGTAAGTTATTAATATTATCATGACAATGATACTGCTATCAGGAAACTGATAGTAATAGGTTAATTCAGGAATCTCTGTTTTAGAGTTCGTATGATTAATAAACATCTTCCAAGTGTGCTGCTAACAAGGAATAACACCAAACCCCCTATTTCCAGAGCCCAGATAAACAGATAGAAACATAAGGTTCTGTCTAGACATGAATGTTTAACAGTTGCCTCCAGGACAACAAACAACGGATATTTAAATTATTTTCTTAGTATCGTCCTAATTCTTTGGGTGAAATCATAGCCCAACAGCAGCTAGTAGCTGTTTTTTTCACTGGTTCCGCAGGGCCAAGTGTTTGCCCTCTATGAGGGCAGTCAGTGAGCAATAGGCTTAACAGGAAGCAAGTACAATGTCATCCTCTTAAAACCAAGGCTACAGTTGAGTTAAGGACAACATGAAGTCTTTAAAATAAGATGCTAGATTTCAGGCAGATAAACAGTTTTAGGCCTTTGATGTACTGGGAATTCCCCCCAAGACACTGGCTCGAGCTGTGTGAATAATTGATTTTTCAGCTGAATGGCTGAACCAACCAACCAAACAAATCCCAACTTGTTCGTTAATTAACATTTTCTTCTCCCCTGAAAACTGAGGGGAAAAAAGCATAGTTTAGGACTGCTGAATTGTTCCATTCAACCAGAAACTGTCTCTCTTCCATTTCAAACATTTTTCCAGACAAAAAGCAGTCACAGCGAAATACCACATTTGTGATAGGAAGCAAGGGTATGCACAGAAACACAAAATAATTGCTGGACTAACGGGGGTGCCGCTGGAACCCATGATGCAGGGCATCTCTCAAGCGAGGTCACCTGAGGAGGGGGGTTCCTGCTTGCTGGATTCGGTTTCCCCACAGACAAGGGCAGTGCCTTAAGCACAGTGCTGAAAAGTAGTGGCAAGGTGCTACTCATTCATTTCTTTGACTCATTCCTTCAGTTTTCTTGTGAGCCTAACTCCAGGATCAAATGTTTCACTTGCAAAATGTCAAAATGAATCATTCCAATTTTCATTTTACTCTTTAAAAAATCTGTTAAATCTGTTAAAAAAAAAAATCTGAAATTGTCAAGAGTCCTGGCTGCCCCAAAACATATTTTCAGTGTTATTTTCATTTACTTTTTGATAGCTTTGCTGAAACCTATTCATAGGTTATATTTAGGTTCAACCAAACCTAAGTAGTACCGCAGTTTTCTCCAGAGAATTAAAAACCATCATGAAACGGCAACGTTATAGTCAGTATTGGGAAAGAGGATTGATAACAAACAGTGAGTGAAATCAGCCACCCTAGTTTTATCATTCAAATTAGCAAAATGAAACTGTAAGCTGGTGAAAAGTTCAGTTCTGCCTACTCACATCTGCTGTCACATTAAAGAGGCACATTTTCATATGTGTCACAGGCTGAACTATTTACAACGACTGCGCGTTAAATCATCAGACTACTAATTGGTGACATTTCTTTTAATCTTAACGGTTTTCATTTATTCCTGCAAATGCTGCAGAACAGCCCAGTTCTGCAGAGCCCGTGAAAGGCAGGCGGAAGGCTCCCACGGACTGCGACGGGAGCCGGCCTCGATCCATCCTGAGGCAGCTCCTGCAAACCGATACGGTAAGGCCTCCTACGGAGGGAGACTTACGAAGTCACGCAGGGCATTATAACACCTTATTAGCCCAGCATGGGTTACGCCAGTCTCTTGCTGGAGTGGGGACCAATAAGGACCATTTTGCTCGTGCGCTGTCCTTTTCCGAAAGTGGAGAACAGGGCCCAGTTCTTTCAACCTGTATGGGTACTAACGAGCCTACTTAACATTTCGCACTGCACTGTAGTACAGAATACTTACAGAAATTAAAACAATTAGCCAATGACAGAAGTCATCTTATTTATCCACGAAGACTCATTGTGGTCAACGAGACCAGCTACAGCATGACGAGGGTTATCCAAAATCAGTCCTGTAGCTCAGGGAAATGCTGTACCTGCGTTTGCAACATTTTGGCGACCCTATTTTCACACAAAATTTACAGTCAAAAGCAGGCAACCTTCAAAACCAAAAAATGAAAGGGGGCTGCAGGAGTGTCTGCTGCACTTTGAGCTGGATTATGCAATTGAATCAAGATTACATAACCAGAGTGTGATTACAGAAACGTGGCTCCCATTACCCAGAGCCTGGCTGTGATCACAGAGTGGCAATCCATCACAGATTAGAAGCCTGTAACTGAGAAATTAAATTTATTAATATTATCTATTAACATTTTAACCTGGAATGCACGTAATGAGACTTTGAAATATGCCTGTTATAGCTACTTAACTACCAAGTTACTGGCAGTAATTTTTTCCAGCCTTTTTATTTTATCCCACAAGCACACAGGCATTCTCTTTTTTATAATTAACGCCTTAAACTTCTGGAAGGATGTTACTGAAACTTTTTTTATCTTAAATCTGTTTATTAATGATGCAGATATAAACATCCTTTGTTACCAGAAATTATTATTACTTTCTAGAAATCTTTTCAGTGGTTTAGGGAAGAAAAGTATCAGGTTATATAACGTGTAACTATATATGTATTAGTAATCAAACAATGTAATGTGTTTCTTTACTGAGTCCTTCTACGATCCCAGTAAACCTTCCTTTAATCTTTTCACATTCAACACTCAGTACTGCAGAACGAGATTCAATTGTTAAACAATGGTGAGAATTTAGCATTGTCCTTCTAAATCCTGTTTAAAATAATGAGACGTAATGATCATTTTAAAAAGAGATGGATTAACATCCAGTGAGACTAGTAGCTACAAAGCTTCAATATGCCTCGGCCTCAAGGTGAATTAAGGCTCTTTTTTTTTTTTCTAGTAGATGTTTTTTATAACCCAAGGTGACCTAGAGAACCTGACCTCTTCAAATGAAGTGCAGAGAAAAACGCTATCTGGTTAAAAAAAGGAGCAGGAGGCCTAAATCAAACAGGGAAAAAAGAGGAAAAGCCATTTACAAAAGAGTCCGTTAAATAAACAAAATAAATAATTGGTGTCAAGACAAACTGAGTCTTTACTTCTGCTCATGCAAGCAGTTCCACAGAGGCAAACAGGAGTAACCTCATTTTCTTAAACAAACAAAAAATACGTTATTATTTTACTCTTTCTGCCCTCCTTGCCCAGATACAAATTGAAGGAGTTACTTAGCATCATTTACTGACAGATAGGGAGCTCTGTGTGCCCACTGGATTCAAGGGCATCCATGAAGCAAAGCTGAAAAATCAGCCTGCCACAGCCACGTAACTGAGATTATATTGTCCACTATAATGACCATAAATAAGGGCAGGCTATGAGTTTCAGCTGAAATATGTACCCATTTATTTAAACTACCCTATGCAATACTTCTCTGCCAAGCATATTCTGCAGGAGAGAAAGAAAAAAAGGATAATCTGCAGGAAGGAAAAAAAAAAAGGCATAAAACCCCAGTGTGTTCAGCTGGGAGAAAATGGCCTAGCGTTTGACATCCTCTGCTGAGGGAACTAAGAAACTGCTCCAGAAGGAAGACCTGGCAGGAATTTTCTAACTGCTGCAACTGAAGCACGTATCCTAATTTACTCGTTCCTTTCAGGCAGTGAGATTTCTGAATGGGCAGAACTTTGCCAGCAGCTCAGGCAAGAAGTCCAGGTGTGACCCTGGTCCAACCCTTTGTCTGGTGCAAGTTGAAAGCTGGGAGCAAAGGGTGCTGGAAGGGGGGGTCCCCTCTTCTCCCCTTGCATGATTCGGAGGAGTACAGGACAGCACCTGACAAAGAGCTGGGAGCCGCAGCTCCAGGCGTTGCATCCTAAGCTGGTGGCAGGACTTCTAGCAGGAGACCAGCAAGTATGGCTGGCTAACGGGTGAAGAGCAGGAGACAGAGACTCGAATGCCAAACCCCACTGAAACCCAAAGAATCCCTTTTGGCGTGGGGGGAGGCAGGTGTCCCTCAGGGGCGTGTGTTGGGGTGCACCAAGCAGCAGTGCCGAGTGCAGGCACAAAAGACACGCAGGAGGACGCCGCAGATGCATTTGTTCCTCACCCCTCCGAGCTGCCGCACACTTCCTCCGCGCGATCTGAGGAGGGACCCCAAAAGAACAAAACATGCGTGCCCCTATCTCCTTCCCACCGGTGATGCTCGGACCCCGGGGAGAAGTGTCACCCCGGCTTGGCCAAGGTCAGCCCCTGAGGGGCTTGACCCGCTGCCCTCCGTTGGGCCCATCCAACACACACACACACACACACATACGCACACGCACACACGCATGGACCTCCCTACCTGCCCCTTGACCAGGCTGGCTGCAAACTGCCTCATGACCGCCTCCACCGTGTAGGCGCTGGACCAGCCGCGCGGGGTGAGCAGCTCCATGCAGATGGCCCCGCCGTCCAGCACGTAGCCGTTCTCCAGGCGGGGGCTGAGCACCCGCATGAAGGGCGGCGAGAAGGGGAAGTTGTCGGGGAAGGTGAGGTTGAGCAGGATGTACTCCGTGTTGGTCTCCTTCATGTCCTGCCACAGCACCGAGTCCTTGTCCACCTGGTGCAGCTTCACGTTCCAGTCGAAGAGGCTCTCGTCCACCAGCTCCACCGAGATGAAGCGGTCGCTGAGGCGGGCGATGTCCTGCAGCTC